GATTTTTTTCTTCTTGTTTGTTCTCTTTTCTTTTACTTATTAATAAAACTAAAAATGCTAAAATTATAAAAACAAAAATTATCTTAAAATACTAATTAACCCCCTAATAATAATTATCACCCAAAATTAAACATTAATACAAATAAAAATCACACAATTTGGACATTAAAATGCTAGAAATGCAAAAGATTATTTTTTATGATTTTCTCATTTTTGTAAAACAAACTTAAATAAATACTAAATGAAAAATGCGACATATTTTATATTTTTATTAATTTAAACAAATAAACATGCACAGACAAAAATACAAATAATTATACAAAAATACCAAAAAAAATACAACAATTGCACACAAAGGAAAATTGTTTTATTTTGAATTTTTTGGGAGTAATTCTTTCATAGGGCAAAAATCACGTGCTTACAATGATGATATGTTTTATTTAATTTTAAACTATTGAAATATCATTTCAAACTCGAAAAAGATATAAGATATTAATAGATATTGACATATAAATATGAAAGAACAAATTAAAGAGATTGACGCATTTCACTAACACTTGATAAAAAAGTAATCATACAACTCATTAAAGTTAATAAATATGGAGCACTTCATATTTAACTAAATTTTATCCCATAAGAGAATCACAAATATTCCTTGACATTTTTTAAAGAAAATTCTATAAAAAGTCTTAAAAGTATATATAAAAATTATATATTTATATGTCGGTTTGGTTCGAGTTTTTTTACTCAATACCAAATCAAATCAAACCAAACCTAATCGGAATTTTTTAATTGGTTTGGTTTGACTTTTCGGTTTGGTGTGATTTTCCGGTTCGATTAGTACACCCTTATGGCTGGTATATTCAACGGCTCGAATAGGTCACACAACAACTTTAGGCTTTAGCGTTGCTCCCAGCATCAGTTCCGATATTATTTCCATAAAATCATGTGTATAGCAACCACTAGTGACATGTGATGTAGACCAAAGAAATTCGCTGTAAAATAAACCTTTTCGACATGAATTCGTGTAGGTTATTGTTACATTAATTATTTGAAAGTGATTTTCCGTTCAACAACTACTAATGCATGCAATTTCTAAATGAGAGCTAGCCCATTTCTATCACCTTTAAATGTTGTATCTATGGCAACAATAAATGAGATAAGGTTTCGTCTTCCCATGTGTTTGTGAAATGGAAAACTTTTGTATAGAATATCAATTTTGGTCAAGCTTTTACACGTTATATTGATATTAAATGATGTTCAGTGTTCTCATAAAACCCTTTGGTCTACCTAAACTTTGTGTTTTTCTATAGACTTCGCCTGCCCACTTTAGTTTAGTACCAGGAAAGGTCAAGATATTATATTATATAGAACCATATATGTTTAGTGGTAGAAAATGCAATCATAATGAGGTATGAAATTTTAGGACTTCCATTGACTTGTTAAGTCTGCAGTAGACAACTTGATTTAGTCGGTAATTTATTTCCTTTTTTTAAATTTTTTTACATAGTTTTATACGAAAAATAGGAAGGTTTAATTGAACAGCGATGATCAGAAAGTTACTGGGATTTGAACTTGTAACATTACCATGGAAAATACAACCTTTTGGCCAAAGAACTATTTCGTACTGGGACGGTTGACGATTTGTCCAAGTTATTGGTAATATAAATTAAATGGATTAAGATTCTAGGTGAAAGTGCACTAATATGATAATACTATAACATAGTATGTAATCATTCTCTTTTATTATATTTGAAGAAGTACCACTATGTCTTGGCTGTTTATTACTTTGCTTAATAAATAATAAATTGATCGCAAAAAATGGAGAGGTATACGCACAAAAAGGCCATGCTTTGCCTAACAAAGGTAGTCAAAATCTCTTCCTAGAATCTTGAAATTATTTTATTTTTCTTTTGCCCGTATATATATATACTAGTAACGGATATCCCGCACGGGCCCAAGCTTAAATAAACCAACACAATTTAAGTTAATTAGTGATTTATTTCTATGTTATGTAGATTTGAGTGTAATTAAGAAATTTAATCATAATTTAAGACAATACTGGTAATATATCAAAAAATTTGTTTAAGAAATATTTCAGGAAATAAATGTGACTTTTCAGGCGCAAATTTTCAATAAATTTTTCAAGTCAAGTTCACATCCGAACACAACTTAACTTGTAAATGATTTCTTTTTTAATTTTTATTTCAGCTCTAAATAGTTTTTTCTTCAACCTCAGTCAAATATTATTTGAATTGAACCCTAGCAGATATTATAATATAACATGTGTTAGAGCCTTTTATTTTGAGGAAAATTAGGTATACAATAAAATGTGACTAAGATCCAACATTAAGATATAACAATATTATTCTCTTAATTTATCTTTAAAAGAATGACAATGATGCAGTACGAGAGTCAAACGTTCTAGTTTTTATTTTATATTTTCATTATGATAATAATTCTTTTTCAGTAGTACAATAATACATTTCTAACTCTCTAAATCCTAAACACTTGCCTAAGCATTATTTCATTATTTCATCATTTCATCTTGTTGGTATTACTCCCCAATATTTGTTTAGGGCGTCATTTTTAAAAAAAGAAATTATTGCTTTTTTCTTCTTCTTTTTAATAACTCAATTACTGCCTTCTGGATCCCAATTCAATCCTTCCTTTTCTCTTAAACCTTCTGCAAAAATTTCCTAAGCTTTTGCTCCATTTTTATAAATTTGTTAGCATAATGTAAATGCCTTTCTTATAATTGATTAAGGAATTTTTCATCAATATCAATGTAAACAAACTAAAATTTGCACCAATTATAATCACGGTGCCTGATAATACTTGATTTTAAACTATTAAACTTTGCCTGCTTATCAATTATTTTAGATTTTTTCCATATCACTATTTTGTGCCTACTTCATTTTACTTTTATATAAATTATTGAATAAATTTATTAACTTTTTTTTTGGAATAAATATCTTGTGTTGCTTCTAGAATATTAAGTTTGCGTGTTGTTTTGTTTTGATACATTTTCTATAATCTATTATAAAAAAATATAAAAAAAAAACTATTTTTACTCCAAATAAAATCTTATATTGCTTCCAGTATTTTAGGTATCTTGTTTATTTTTGATAAATTTTCTACAATTTATTGCAGAAAATAATTTTCTACAATTTATTGCAGAAAATAATTTTCTACAATTTATTGCAGAAAATAATTTTCTGTACTCCAATCAAAATTGACCTTAAACTGTCTAATAATGTTTTTGAACAGTAAAAAAATAATTAAACATTTTCATCCATTAAGACTTTGCAAAATAACTACAAGCAACATAAAAATCTAAATTATAGCTGCAAAAGACAGCAAAAAAGAAATGATATGTACTATTTAACATGATCGAACAACGGATTCCCCAAGTTTACTTACTTCACACAAAATCAAGGTCATCTAAAGCAATAAAGTGATAATTTGGGGGTATAAAATACTGCTAGGTGTGACGTTGGAACATCCAAAGGGGGGCCCACATGAACAAGAAGTGCCTACTGCTATGAACGCGTGGAATGGGGCCGGTATACTTTCTGCAATCTCATCAAATGTGTCCAAGTGATAATGCTATATAGTACAATAGCCTAAAGCATATAAATAGTGAAATACCAAAACTGCCTCCGTCAACAAGCAGGCATGTTGACGGAGAGGTGCCTGTGTTCCCTCTTCTAATAAGTAGGAATATATTGAGGAGTCCTTGTCGGAGTAAATGCTAAATCAAACAACAAGAAAGATTGAAAAGAGAAAAATAAAGTGAATAGAATAGAAGGTTCCAAAAAGAAAGGAAACCAAGGTCAGTAGAATAATTGAACAATAACCAACATATGTTCCACAAATATAATAAAGATTAATAATGATATTATACAACACTGGTGTATGCACAAGTCAATCAGTTCCAAAGCTTTGTGTAGTTCAAAAGTCCCTCCCTCCATGGAAAAGTTCCAGTTATCTAGAATACAGATAATAATCATACAAACAATACCATCATGAATCTATCACATTAAAACATCACAAAGAATGGAAAACTATCATTAAAAGGGAGAAGGCGGGAAACCCTTCTTTTCTGAACCAGGTACTTCTTAGGTACTCCTTCAACCCTTGCCTTGCTTTTGTGCTCGGCCACTCTCTGTTCTTAAGTCAAAAACCAAGTAAATGCACTGAGAAGTGAATAATGCACTCTCCTTGCGGAAATGGTTTGCTTCGAGATTTCAGTAAGGATAAGCAAGTAATCTTCGACTGGGTGCTGGAGGGGCTAATCCAGGGATGTCCCGGATGTCTTTGTTATGTGGGTTTACAATCTGCAGATCCAAAAATTAAAGTGGTTTTAGCCTCAATATATGTTATTATTCCACCAAATACCAATAATAACATAAATCAAACAGAAATTTGTTTTTGAGGGGCAAAGTGTGATCAAGCTTTGTGAGGAAGTGAACGGTGGGTTCCTTCAATGGGTACTTGTCCAATTGTGAAGTCTCTCATAAACTGACGTTTTTTAATTTCTATCGCTGCTGCTACCAACTGGAATTAAAGTTGACATACATATCTCTAACCAAAACCCTCAAGGCACACACTACTAATAGTTGAACGGTGATGCTGCACTAATGACAAAATAATGGAAATGCAAGCTGTTCTTAAAAACTAACATCAATATTTCTATTATTATCAGATATCTCCTATTCAAAGATCAGCTAACCCACCTTGCACTGCAGTTTCCTAAGTGTTACTGTGACTTCTTTACTATATCAGTACTTCATAATTGGACTAGCTAGTAAACCTTCATAAAAAAGAGATTGTTTAAGCCATTTGGAGTGCTTTAGTTTACCATACATGGAGAGCTCGAAATTGGAAGTTATTCAGAGGATTAAATGTACATACAGAGATGGTGGTGACTCAGATCAAGAAAGAACTAGTTGATAGACTAACTTTACCTTACCTGTACAAGAAGTTATATAGATGTAGAGGACCCATGCAAAGATTACAAATGTAATTAGCTGCTCTCTTTGATTTTGGATGCCTAAGATTAGGTGCTCTTTAGTTTGTAAATTGTTCTTTGGTTGTCAATGGTAATGTTTACAGTGCTACCAAAAAACATTTCATAAAATGCAGCACAAACATTGGATAAATTAGACGCAATAACAAAAGCCTTATTAGGATAACTTGCAATAGAACTTTTTCAGGAAGACTAGAAGTTTAATTGCGCTATGCTAGATACTTCATATGCTGCAGTTTATGTGCCAAAGTACCTATGATGACAATTTGAAGTAGGCCATTAGGCCCTGTATCAGTTTTAGGGTTAAAAGGGTCAAGAAACTGTATTATGAAGTGCTAGATGGGCACATAGCCAAATAAAGTAAAAAAGTTGTAATTTCTCGTATTGATAGTAACATTTTAATCTCAAGTATAAGACCACTACAATGTTGCAAGCTGGATGAATTGACGGTGGCAAACTAAGAACAACTGCTGAAATCAAAAATGATACTTGGATATAGCTTAATATCAGAAAAATATTTGATAAGTAATCCTAATATTGTTTGAGGGCATTGAAACACAAATCATTTGGACTGCTGCAGAAGAGGGGGGAAGGCATCTGACCTTCACAATAATGATTGCTATGACCCCAACCACAATCAGAAAGAGCAAGCCCATAATACAACGATCAGTTGCAACCTAAAGAAGAATTTTATTTAGAGTCACAAGATGAAATAAAAAGAAAAGGTAATGAAGGGGGGATTGTACAATTTAGAAATTGACCTGCCTACCGAGTTCCTTGACCAACTGCGTAGCCTTCTTGATCGAAAAATGGATCGAGTCTAGCTCATTGACTATCCGGCTCATTTGTTCAGTCTGGGCAAGCAGCACATATAAGGCATAGGATGAAGCAAGGGCCACAAGAAAACAATATAAGATCACGCTCTTGCATCTTAAACATGTCCATTTTGTAAAATAAGCATACCTGTGCCTTCAGTGCTGCAGCAGTTTCTGTTCCAACATTTACAGTTTCATGAACCACCTGTGGAAAAAAAGAGAGCATGTAATCTACATAACAGGGAAGCAAAAGAGTCCAAAAAACTAGTTCACAAGACTCACTTCTCAAATGGCATCATATTCCTTGCTTTACTAGCTCCTAGTACCAAGCAATGTGCAGGAAAAGAACTGTCTCTGTTTAATCTACTGGCTAAGATACCATAAGTCATTACTCATTTCAGTGGTTTCACATCCTGATGATGAGTTTGATTACATATTAGGGCTTTGTCTCGGAATCGTTTAGAAGTGGAGCAAATGAAATATTGTGTTGTTCTTAACCTAAAAATTTTAAAGGAAAAGAAGAAAAACTATTTTTGCTTGAACCAGATTTCATTTAATCCTTCTCTAGCTATAATTATACATAATCAATATTATAGTCAACACTTAGCTTGGGAATCTAGTAGTCCAAAACACTCACAGAAAAAGCAGATGATAGAATTTCATATGGTATGATGTCGCAACGAGTAAAAGCTTATGTCATGAATTGCTCATACAAAAAACATTCATTCATGAAATACCAACCTTTTTTGACCTCTCAATGGCCTGATCTGTCTCATCCATCATCCTATTTCCTTGATCCATCAGTTGTTGATTGCTCATATCTGCAATGTTACATCAGCAATCAGAAAGCTATAGGGACAATTGCTTTTAAAATATTAAAAAACCTATAGACAAGGAGTAAAAATCAATGAGGTCAAAGTTCCTTTGCAAGCTGCCAAAACAGCCATGTCTTGCGAAAGTCAATGACAATATGCAGCAAAAGAGATTCATTCATTTGAGAGGGACAAATGAACTCTCGCTATATAGGATGATTAGCTTGAATTACTTGTGTCAAAAGATTCAAGAGAATAGAATCAGAACTTACTCCATTCTATATATACATATACATATACAAATACACACACACACACATGTGTGTGTGTGTATTGTATGTGTGTGTGTGTGTGTGTGCACAAAGATAATTCATTAATATGTCAGATTGAATCATGATGACCTACACAAGGCAACCTGGTCTCTACTTTCAGATTCAGCTTAAACAGTTCCGGATATCTGAACCAGTCAGAAAACTGTCACTGTGGATCACACCCCTCTTGATCATTTTTTTCATTCCATTAGCTTTGGCATTTAATTGCGCTTCCAAGAAAAATATCACACATATAGAGGAGGCCTCTTTCAATAAATTACAGTCTTCCGATCAAGACTATGCAATTTGACTTGTCACAATTCATAAAGTGAAAGGTTAAAGTGTACATTGGTTTAATGTTGATGAAGATGAGGCATCAATAACTTTCATTTTGTATTCTCGAAGGTGACAAGAGTTGCCTAGTGTAACCTCAATTCTGATACCAACCATAAGCACCTATAATGAGCATGGAAAATTTTCCTTTCTAATATAGCCATAGATACAGTTGAGACATTTTAAACCAGTAATTGTGGAAAGACGCCTATTATAATTTAGAATTATGCAAGGTAGCCTTCAAAATTGTGTATCAATCTCAACCAGATCCTATCACCAAGAAGCAGTATTCTTTCAACGGCAGCTTCAACTGCCCCACTCACCCAACAAAAGAACAGAAGAGATACCTTGAAACCAGCTCTTCAGCTGAGAAACAAGTGAGAACAATAAAAAAAAAAGACAGAACTACTAATCACCAGATGAGAGCCAAGAAGAAATACAGCATACTTCAGTCCAAAAAAAGCATAATTTATGTCAAAACTCAAATTGCAGCATAAAAAGCCAGAACGCTAAGATAAATGAAGGATGTATAAAAGTACAAAAGTGAAAGATATGCTTACTTGAAGCTAGCAAGCCATTTTCTTCAGCAAACCCTTCACCAGGACCCTCAAAAAGATCTACTCGCTTGTTCTCAATATTGCTTGCGTATCTAAAGAACCACAGACACAAAATTAAGTCTAAGATTCAGAAACCAAAGAGAAATAACATATACAATAAAACCAAAAGTTGGGGCTTTCTTGTTCGTCCGATACAAACATAAGCTCTAGTTTACTTCATAAAAAACGTAAGTGCTACTTCTGCATATTCATCAACGGGAAAACAGTGTCCTAATCTTTAACCATCCTTGAGTGAAGACTAACTATTAACATGTATAATCCAAGTCCTGAAACAGAGTTTATTGTTGATTTCCTGAACTAGTGTCACATATCTAAGGAGTATATTGAATTGATAAACTCATAAATAAGCTGGATACCTTGTACTATGTCCAAGTCAAGAACCTCATGCAAATATAGGTGACTTACTATGTTTTTATCAGTTGTTAAATTTAATGATTCTAACTCTGCTGCTATTCCTAGGTTCATTTGTGGGCCTCAAGTCTCGAGGGTAGAAAATTCTTCTTTTCCTATTTGTAATCCTGCAGGCACATTCATGGAAATACTGTTTGAAGTGTTGCAGCCACTTTCTTTCACCAGCATTACAGTCAAAATTCAATCGAGGCATCCCGGATTTAAGGAACTACAAATATACAATAGAACTTTTTGGGAAAGTGGAAAGGATCATTTAATTTCAACAAGACAAAGCTAAGAATATAAAAACCCAATACAACATTGATGGTGGGTAAGAAAAGACTCGTATAATTGCAAAGGTGCTAACTCGCTCCGGAACAGAACAAGTATAGTCGCTCTGTGCAAAGATATTTGAAGAAAGCATATATTTTGGCGATGAATCTTAAGTTAAGGAAAAGCAAAGCAGTTCAAGAATCAGCAGACTATTAAAATGAAGTTTTAGATAATGAGTAAAGCTACCCAAAAAGCACTTACTGCTTTTTCAGAGCAACATAAGAGTTCAATTCTTTGATCTGCAAAGGAAGATAGAAAAGACAACATCAGTTCAGAAAAAACAGATCCATTCGTTGTGGCATAAATATTATAGAAAAGCTTTCCAATGAACCAGACCATTGATTGCTTTTTCTCATTCAGCATCTTGGTTGTGTCAGCATCATTTTTATATTCCAAATCCTTTACTTCTCTGTCAAACTCCTTGATAAGCCTGTCGAAGTAATTAGTTTATGATTGCACGAAATTAATTGTTTGTCAGTGCATGGTTGCGTATCAATATAGTTCGGTTACCAGAATTTCATGGAAAATAAAGGGAGAAAGCAACTAGCAATTCTCCAAATCAACCTTGCATGCTTGTCAGAATCCCAAATTGACTACAATTACTCCAGTTGGCAATTACACACTAGAAATACTTCTAACGCTTTGCTGTTTCATTTGGATCAAAACTTTTTGAGAAAAAAAAACAAGACAATGTAAAGTAAATCAAATCCAATATTTTCTTTTTAAAGGAAATAAAAACCAAATTTTTATGGTTCTTCATCCTGTTTAGATGTCTCGAGAACATAACACTAACCATCTGGTGGCATCAAACAGGAACAAGCAATACATTTTGGCATGTACATGTTAAAATACTAAGCTGTTAAGCAGGAATTTTATGCAATCTTATAAAAAAAAGGAGTTTATGCAAAATACTATGTTTATTTCCTCTAAGACTGACCAAGTAATCATAGTGATTTGATACCTCATTGAATGATCAACCGCGACAGTTCGTCCACATGAAACAGCTTTATATTGATCTCACTAATCAGAGTTCTGAAAAGGGCTTATCAGAATTTGCAAAAACTAAGATGGAAAAGTCAATTCTCTTCCATCTTTATCCAAGAGATTTACAAGGAGATGTTCCTACATCAGCTAAAAACCTCGTGGCTCTTCAGTTAGTGGCTTATGGTATTAAATTACACTATTTTGCCATTTACTAGAACGTGACAATTTCTGACAGGTAAATTTTGTTTCTTTTAAATTCAAAACATGTATCGTTTAAGCAGCCTCTCTACCTCCACAAGGTAGGGGTAAGGTCTGTGTATACTCTATTCTCCCCAGATCCCACTATGGGATTTCACTGGGTATAGTGTTGTATCGTTTGAACACAATTTGAACTGTAATAAACTCCACCCTCTTGAGCTTCGCATCCTATATGAGCTTACAGTACCAATCCAAAGCCAGCTCTGATAAAGGACGGGTTGCGGAGGTTGACTGGCAGAGTAAAACTAGTCAATTTATGACAAATCCTCATAATATTGAAGTGGAATGGATATGGAGGACCCGTACAGCCACCCAACTACTTCAGAATGGAGAGGTACTAGTAGTAGTTATTATTATTTTTAATTAGTGGTTGCTGACTATTTTACTGGGTACCTGCCACCTCTCACCAGCAGAGGTACCGGGAACTCTGCCCACCAAGGCTAAGGCTTAGTAGTTGTGATTATTAGTATCATTGGGAAGTAGGCACCTTTTATTGACAGTTTCTCTGTCTGAAATCCTATTCATGGAAGTGAAAAGATAAAAATTTTCTTCACCATTCCGAAATAAAGTTCACCCATTCCTATACTCTTTTTTCCTTTTTTTGATAACGGTGGTATCCGGGCTAGCTTGTGCACACCTCCACTATTCCACCGGATACCTGCTACCTTTTAGCAACACATGTGTCGGGTAACTCTACATGCCATGGCTTAGGCACATGGGAAGGCATCACATAGTATATCTTTGACTATGCAGGAATTTGAATCTAAGACCTCATGGTTCTCCTCTCACTTCAATGACCACTAGGTCACACCCTTAGGTGCAAAACTATCAAATATTTCTTCTATATCCAAAATAAAAGTTCATCATTTCCTAATACACTTATAGTAAATGCAAATGCAGATTGTTAAACACATTGATAAATCGCCAAGAGGATCTGCAATGAGTACCTCTTACATTCCTTCATCTTTCCTGTTAGCTCCTCCAACTGCCTGCTCTGCCTGTTCGAATCCTTAATCTTCTCCAATTTCTGAAATCCATTTCTGCAACAACAAAACAAAAAACACCATTCACCTCACACTCATACATTATATTTTTACTTAAAATGGATAAACAGAAAAGAACATTGCTTACGAAAGAGCTCGGAAAATATCCGAAATCTGTCCCTCGATTTCCCCGAGCTCCTCGCTAACACCAGTCAACGAAGCCATTCCTCACAATTGGAAACAATATACCGATAAACACAAACAATTTCGATTCTCAAAACAAATCAAAACATTGCAAAAACAATCAAACTCCTCGAAAATTCAACCATCAGATCGGAAATTTCACGAATTTGAAATTTTTCGTAATTTCAAATTCGATTATTGCACAATGCGGATTCAAATCGGAAGGAAAAATAGGAAAATTAGCGGATCTGACTGTGGATCTGATGAAAGTTGAGGTGTAGGGTTTGAAAATTTTGGATTTTGATTATTACAGAGAAGAGATGAGCTGGTCTCGTGATTTTGCAGGCATTTTCAATATTTTATATTTTTCGGCTGAATATTTTTGAGGATTTTAAATGCTTGAGCGTTTTGGAGGGTTTTTTGAAGAAGGTTTAGAAAAGGAAAGAAAGGAAAATGGAAATGGGAATTATTAATTAGTCAAAGATTAGTAATTAGTGTAATTAATTAATAGTAATAGTAAATATTAACCGATATTTAGGCAGTTCAAATTGGGTTGTAATGGAAATGATTGGTGGGGTCCACATATGCGTTTACTTTGCTTCGGATATTCAGGTGTCGTGTTTTAGACGTTTATGGTCCGAGACATATCGAATTAAGGTTAAAATAGCACGGTATAGCCAGTTTTTGAACTGGTCATTCAAAAATAGTCATCGTTTACGAAGTCAATGAAAAATAGTCATTATTTTGCTGCAACAGAGACCGATCTCGCATAATATACGAGAGTTCGGTGCATCTGTGTACGAACTCCAGCATATTATGCTAGACCGGTATACTTTGCTGACTCCTGTATAATATACGGGAGACTGGAGCACCGATGCTTCAAACTCCAGTATATTATACTGGATATTTATACTTGCTGGAATTCCAGTATATTATGTTGGAGTTCTAGTGTACTTATGCTGGAACTAAAACATATTATGTTGGAACTCCCGTATAATATGCTGGAGTTCAAGCATACTTATGCTGGAACTAAAACATATTATGTTGGAACTCCCGTATAATATGCTGGAGTTCAAGCATACTTATGCTGGAACTCCAGTATAATATATGGGCGTATTTTTTGAGTTTTGAACAGTATTTTCGCTCAAATTTATCTTTACATGAAAAGTGACTAAATTTCGATTACTTTTAAAATTAGGTTATTTTTGAATGACCAGTTGTAAATCTGACTATTTTTAAATTTCTCCAAGAATTAAGTGTTAGGGTCCCGTTATGGACATGGCACATGGCCCATTGTGAATAGTGACCTTTTCTTGACGCGTTTAGGGTGGGAGTTATGTTTCTATATTTGCAAATGACTAGAATTTCTTCACGGCGGAGTTAAGAGTACATGAAATGATTACAATACAACCCAGTAATTTAAATTAAACTTTTGTATTTAAATTCAAAAAAAAATTAATATGTACGAGCTATTAATTTAGAATTCGTATTAATAAAACGATCCTACCACATGGACAACGTAATAGGTGACACATGGCAAACGATATTTAATCAGCTCCAACAGATAGGTCCAACTCAATATATCAAGTCGGAAGGTCAGTAAACGAATTGTGTCCAGGATTATCTACATCGAAACTACAATGTGATCTCGAAAATGATCATTCGGAAAGTCTCCAATATCCGGATAAGATGATCATCAAACGAGGGTTCTGAAATATTCGCTATTCTACATCGAATTGTTGAGCAATTATAAATCAGCCAGGTCTAATGTATAGAACGAAAAGATAATGCTCATAACATGCGGGCATGATTTTAGGGAATAATTACACTATTCTTCACTCTAAATATTTCCTCTCCTCGACATTTGTAAGCCTTTAAATTTTACATACTCACATTGTTTTTTTAATTTAACAACAAATCTTGTAACAAGCTATGTATTCAATTGCTCTCGCCCTATGGAAGGATATAAATGAAAAAGCTCTTTCTTTTTCATACTATTTTTATTTACAATTATCTAATTAAGTTTTCCTAATCAGAAAAACAGTTCCTACGAAGTGAAACGATTGCTTGTGACCTTATTTTTAGGGAGATTGACATGAATGGCTCCGTAAGGGGCTGATCTTAGCCGAATATCTTCAAATTAGTAGTATTTAAAAAATTAATTCTCGGACACGCACACAATTATTGCTCACATGGTTTTCTCTATTGAATTGGTAGAGTTTATGTTATATTTACTCTACCTATCTATTGAATTATTCATTAAAGTCTACCCGGTTGGTATAAGTTCGCTTCAGGAGTTTTTCTACCAGATTAATAGAGTTTATGTTATATCTACTTTACCTACATGTTAAATTATTCATCAAATCTATACGGTTGGAATGATTTTGCTTTTCAGTAATTTTCTACCAAATTGATAGATTTTATGTTATATTTACTCTACAAATTTGTTAAGTTATTTATCAAAAACTACCCGATTGACATAATTTTATTATGTTGTTTTAACAAAGTGTCTACGAATTTTTAACTTCAATTTCGATCGAATTACCCCAAAACTGCACCGATTGATCTTTGAAATAAAGCTTCCAAATATCAACCCAAATAATTACTGAGTCATTAATTTGGTCAAATAATACCAAATTAAAAAAGACCCAATTTGTCTTTTTCGTTACTTTCTAAGATCCACAATGAAATTTTGAGCTTTTTACAATAAATTATCAAATTTATATTTGAACTAAAATTTAAGCACGAATTATCAACATTCTAACGATTTTAACAATAATTGATCATTAGCTCATATTTTCACCACCAAGTAAGTATTTTAAGCTTAAAATATTAACCAACCATGGTGCTCAAGTCAAAAAGGAATAGATCGTCAAAAATGGAGATATTCCGCCAAAATCAATCATGTTGTGGGACACGTCATATAAATTTAATTAATTAATCAATCTGATAATCAGTTTTCCATTTAGTGGGGTTTGGAGAGGGTAGTGTGTACCCCTACCCTGAGGTAGAGAGGCTGTTTCCAAATAGAAACCCGGCATCCTTCCCTCCAAGAATTTTCCACCTTACTTTTGGGGAGACTCAAACTCACAACCTCTTGGTTGGAAGTGGAGTTTGCTTACCATCAGAGCAATCCCTTAGGTTAACACATTTAACTCAAAAGAACGAAACTTTTGAATCGAAAAACGTCAAAATTTTGTTCTTCCGCTGATTTTTTCATCATTTCGTTTCATAAAAGTCAATAGAAAATTAATTTCCCGTGCTAATTAGACAGTGTCTATGTTTATTTGTCTTCCATTTATACCTATCTATCTATATTATATTAAAAGGAGAGTAGTGAAGTATGTGGTTAAGCCAAGTGACAAGCTAAAAAGAAGTCACTTGGCAATTTAAAGACAACATTAAAAATTTGAATCATAAATGGAAACATAATTAATGGAAGTAGTTAATGAATCTTATACTTAATCTAAATAGATCTTAGACAAATTTAATCTATATATCTACATTTAACTTGATATTTATAAGTATATTTATATCTATATTGATTCACCCATAGATTTATTTTTTTTATTAGCTAGAGATATGGAGGTAAAAATTAATTAAAAATTCTAATCGGAAAAAATAAAAGAAATATAGAAAGACGTAATTGAGATAACCTACGACTATTTATACATTGTCACACCTCCTTTTTGCGCGCCCGCCCCGAAGGGTCAAATACGTGAGGGAGTTTTTCCAATTTAAGTGACAATATTCGAAATGGGATTATTTATTAAATTCAGAGTCGCCACTTGGGAAAGGTTTGGCTTTTGGTGTCCCAAGTCACCGGTTTATCTTGAATCCCAAATCGAGGAGATTTTCGACTTTTCCAAATGAAGTCTGCGAACCAGAAATTCTAAGTAAGGAATTCTGTTGACCCGAGGGAAGGTGTTAGGCACCCTCGAATCCCGTGGTTCTAGCATGGTCGCTTAAATTGTTATAATGGCCAAATATCTGATTTAAATACATGTTACGACTTACGTGCTTTTATTAAGTTTAAACCGCTTTTATTATTATCATTTATTTTTATAGAATTACAACGTCGTGAAAATGCGTCTCGAACCACGTCACAATCAATGCACCCGTGGTCGTCGACACATTTAGACTTCGTTGAGATTTGGATTTGGGTCACATCAATGTGCACCCGAATTTAAGAATGTAATTTAATTAAGTCGCGCCTAAAGCAACTAGCGTATAGTTATTTTTGCAGGAAGGCTGTAAAATTCACTAAACGGCCCGTCCCGAATTCTAAGTATTTTAATATATACATTTAGAGGGCCCCGCAGCTTGTGCATTTTTGTGTGTCGAGGCTCGTCTCATTTTATTTAAAAGAATAAACCTACAATGACTATATTTCTATTATGTTTGTCTCTAAAAAAGAAAAGAAAATACATACTTAATTAAATTGCTTGTCTGGCCAATTTGGCCTCTTATTAGTTATTGGATTAATTCTATGCGAGGTGGAAAAATTCTGAGCTTTATTGGACATGCTTTCAGTTTGATAAAAACTTGCATACAAGACAAATATCATGCCTAAACTCACCATAGGCGTCTGTCCCATTTTAATTCAAACTGGCCTTTTGAACAAATTAACAGCATTGACTACTATAAGCTACTATCAATGGGAATTTATTTTGATCTAAGCGCCAGACCTCTTACCCGAACTCAGGCCTATTAAATTAGTTTTCCTCCAAATTGTCGCATTATTTCGGAACAATGAACCTATATCGAAACAAGGAGTCTAACAAAAGAATTGGCGTACATGGCTAACCCGTTAATGTAACACCACATAAGAATTCGTTTGGAATACATTTATCTTGAAATCAAATGGGACAAGATATAACAGATTTGACAGTTCAAAGGTCTAAACAAGAGTATATACAGATGCTTGCCATGATTCTATGTTATGTTGTCACCTCTAAATCAAACCCAATGGTTACGCACATGGAAATACATCGGATCTAAAAACAATACTATCTAACAGCTTAATCTCACTTAGGATGTGTGTTAATTCATACAGAGCAGTTGCAGCTTGGAATGAAATTAAACAGATACAGGCCAACTTATCATTCAACCTATGGCTCTATTTTGAACACAAGCATTGTGAAGTAAACAACATTCACTTCTTTATTTCTGCTTCAAAACTTCAAGCTTTCAACAACACATGGTTTCAGAAGTGTGTACCTGGAAGTGTTTACAGCTGAAGAAGAAGAGGAGTCAGTAGAGTAACAATGGCAACAAATGCAGCAGCAGTAACAGAATAGCAGCAGCAGCGCAAAGCAACACGGCAAAAGGGCTAGAGTGCAAGAATGCAACTATAGTCGATGGAAAAATAGCCAAATGACAGCAGCAGGCAGTGCAGTAGAAACAAAACTCCAGAACAAACCAAG